GTTTGTACAGCATTTAAATGACACTTGACCTTTTTAGTCACTGCTGCTTTAGAGACAGATTTTCTCCTTGCCCCTGTGGCAATGATCCTGGGCAAGATTTCTTCACTTTCTTTATAATCATAGAATGGCTGACCAGGAGTCCTTATGAGGATTTAGACTTACTGGGCTAGGGGGATGCAGTTTTTGTTTTCTTTATGCACTTGAAACAGGCCTGGGTTCTTTCATTTGTATCCATGGGTTAATTTCTCCTTTTAGACTTCAGTGATTGGGGAAGGCAAAGGCACAGTTTCTAGAGCCTTGTGCTGGTTATGCTTTTTGAGAATAGAACCTATGACACATCTTTCCCATTGGCGTTTCTCTGGCATCTGTACTTCATTCCATTTTGCTCTGTTTAACAGTTTCTGTAGTGTAGTCACTATTATGTTTACCTAACACCCCATCTCACAGGCTATGAATGTGTTCTAGGCCCTATAATTGTTTCAGAGGATCCCCAAGAATCACTGAAACAAAGGCTCTCGGCCTCAAGGACCTTCAAGCTCATATTGTTTTGTTAGTTCTCCAATTCCTTTGCATCTACAAGAACCAACCTAAGGATTTCTTGCCTTTTTCATGGTAGTACCCTGGCATCCATGTATATACTCAGATGAGTTTACTCAAGTTGGCAATGTTTATTATGTCATGATACCTCAGTGTATCTGCAGTTAATAAACACCCCTTGACTGGAGATATAGCTCAGTAATAGAGCCCATGCTTAGCATGCAAGAGGCCCCAGGTTCAATTAGCAGCATCAAAACCAGAACCAAACAAAAAACAAAACAAAAAAAAAACACATGTTGAGTACATCCTAAGACCATTTTTGTTTTGTTTTTGAGTTATTTTAAAAATTTTTTTAGATGTTGATGGACCTCTATTTTATTGATTTATTCTTTTTTAATTTTTTTTCTTAGTTACACATGACAGTACAATGATCTTGACAATTCATACATTTGTGATTTATTCTTATGTGGTACTGAGAATCAAACCCAGTGCCTCACACATGCTAGGCAAGTGCTGTACCACTGAGCCACAACCCCAGTCCCAAGACCATTGTTTTTAATGTCTCTTTCCCTCTCCCTTTCCACAAATAGAAATGGTTTTGAAAATGTGTGATGAGATATTTCTTTAAAATCTTGCCCACCGTTTAAGGAACATTGGCCCAACTTTAGGAGAAAAGCATTATTCTCAGCACTGGAGAAAATGCCAAGAACAAAGCCGAAGAGTCCTCTGCTCTTATAAAATGTGCATTTTAGGGGAGGGAACAGTCAATAAACAGGTGATATTTGTGCTGAGGGGTATAGAGAAAAAGGAGGAGGATCAGACAGGAGGGAGCAACAGTAGGGTGGTACGCTAGAGAATAATATTGGGAAGATAGCAGCCTGGGGGCTATTTGAAACTGAACACATGGGAACATGCTTTTTGAAACAGTGATTTTGACACCTCAATCGGGGAAAGAACCAGCACTTGAGTTAGGAGAAGGCTATAGAACAGAACAAACAGTACGTGCAAAGTCCCTTGGGCAGAAAAGGAGCATAATATTCAAGCCAGAGAAAAGCACTCCCGGGTGAGTGGACTCAGGAGGACAGTGGTACTGCACACAGTTGGGGATGTGGACAGCTGTCAGAGCAGGCAATGTCTTGGGGGCTGTCATAAGGAGTTTTCATTTGGTTATGAAAACATGTCTAGCACATTAGTACCTTCAAATGCCGGCTAGACACTGCACAAAGATGCCTTCTTACTTTCCTATGGCAGATACCTCCTCCAACTTTAACCATTGGCTACTCCAGAATTTTCCAACCATTTTAAAGTAAAGCAGAAAAAGTAGAGGAAGGAAGCAAGTTTTAAAGAAACTGCCAAAGCTAAATGGAAAGGGAAAAAAATAAATCTTTAGTTCCGGTGCTCCTATTTTTAAAAGTGTGGTGGCTCTCATCTGGTCTGTTACAGAGACAAAGATTTGTCAGTGAACAGCAAATTAAGTTCCTCTGAGTAATGATTTTAATTGTTTTAACATGAATTATTGGTATCAGAGAAAAGTTTATATGTTGGGGATGCATTCAAACTCAGACAAAGCTTATCAATTCTGTCATATAAATAGCATAGCTTTTCCTTGTCCAATGATCTGAACTTATGTGGAAATAAAGCTAGGGAAACTAATTTTTCTGTTATGTGCTAAAAAATCAGAGCCCAGTATTAAGCAAAGCCTGGGGAAAGGGGTAGCATAAATTCCTTAAATGAACTAGATGTTAAATGAGACTTCAGATAACTGTTCCGTATAATCTGTTAGCTTAGACATTAAATGTTATTGACTCATTTTAAAAGAGTATCAATTTCTTCTAAAATGTGGTCCAAACTGTTATTTTAAATAGCTGATGGAAGAGTATTTGGAAAATTAATGCCATTTAGTTTAAGGTCTTCCCTTTTATTGTTTGTTTTAATTTATCTAAAGACTCCACTGTGGTTTTTATAGCAGTCAAAAAGAAAAGAATACAAAAAACCTTCTATGGGAAGATCTCACGAGAATAATGACCTTCCCCACCACAGTGAAGAGGAAGAAGAGAACCCCTTTGATATAGTAATAAGAACTTTCTTTTGGGCAAATTTAATTAAATGTCAAAATGTTAATAAACCATTTGTCGGTGCACTTTTTAATTACTTTGAAAGTAATACACTCCCCCAAGTTCATTTTTCAGATGAGAAAGTTGAGAATCATGATTTACAAAATAATCTCTAGAACAATGCTCTTTACAGTCTCTAGCTAGGAAGAAATCATCTCGCCATTTCCTCTTATAAAACTAATGTTAATCCTTCCAAGTCTTTGAAGCCAGGAAGTACCAATCTCCCCAAATTTCCAGAATAAAATCATTTTCTAACAGTTCCTCTCAGAATGGGCTCCAAATTGCAAAACTTAAAAAAAAAATACAGCATACATTGCTTCTCTGTATTTATATCTTCTGTATTTACATCAGAAGTGAATTTTAATTTAAGAAGCACAGCAACTTGTATTTTAAGAACAAATTAGCCTCATTAGCTAGTACAAAATGCTGCTCCTCCAGCTATGGTTCTGAGATTTTTTTTTAAATTACATTTATCTTTCTTTTGCTACCAGAAGTCAACTGTCAGATTAAATGACAGCCACCAGCCACCCACAGAGATACTATGGCAGATCAATTGTTGCATTTGGTCACTGCCTTTGCAGATATCAGAGGCACCAAAAAGGAAGGAAAGCCCAAGATACCCGAAACAAGCATTTGTATAGGAAATATGCTAAAACCAAATATTAAAAAATATGGCCACTTCTGAGAGGAACTTTGTAGAGAAAAAGGCATCCAGGAAGATTTCTGAAGTTTTGGTAGATGGCAGTTCCATTTAATTTTTCAGTGTCCAAGGGTCACGGTCAGTGCAAACCTAATAGCTTTGGAATGAAAAGTATGGTAACAATGTAAACTCGTATTTTCCAGCCATGACCTTCCTTTTTCCTTTCACTCCCCTCAAGAGATACTTTAATCATCTCCTGGTTTTATTCTCAAGAAGTTTTCTTTCTTATAAATTTTGGTCCTCCAATTTAAACTCCAGTACATGCTTTTATTGTAAATTATACTTTAAGAATTCTTGGGTAGTATAATAGGCAAAAAAAAAATCAGGACAATACTCTTAAATTTAAATGCTCCCATTCTTGTTACTCTTTTTTTTTTTCTTTTGCCAAATCACACAGTCCATTTTTCTCATAAATCAGCCCATATACACTAATCACTTTTGTTGCTTTATGCTGATTTCCCTCTAGCTCCTCTATATCTGTCTGCTCCCAAGATACGCAGACCTGAACACAATATTCCAGGTGTGTTTTTGCCAAATTCACTAAATTACTCTACCCCTCTCCCATGATGTGATGTCTCCACACTTACAGTCCCAATTCACATTAGCTTCCATGGCATATTGCAAACACATCTAATTTGTTGTCCCCTCTCCCCCTGGTTTTTCCGGCATTACTATTTTCTGGATTTTCCATTCTTGCTGCTAACTTTTGCAGCTCCCTCCCCACCCCTCCCCAGAGCACTGGAGTTATACCTGTCTGATTTAATTCTCATATCATTTGATTCTTTCCATATTTTTAACCTCAGAAAACCTGTATAGCACTTCTCTTTATTCACTGGTGTGTTTCCAGAGCTTCCTGATTTAATTTCATCTGAAAATCTAATTAACATGCTGTTTACTACATTTTTTTTCCAGGTTACAAATGGACATGCTCAGGGAAAAATATAACACTAACAGGGATTCCCGGGGCCCTTCTCAGTGCCTGTCCTACTAGGATAGCCTCAGAAAGTGCAATTAACTTTCTCCAGCTCAGGGGATGGCTGTTTCAGCCACTTTACACCATTTTGATGGACAGCTGTGTCTCTCCTCTAATCAGCCAATTTGGAGATAGAACAATTACAAAAGACAGCAATTATTGAATGCAGTCTGTCATTGTAAAGATGGAGATTGAGAAGAGGAAGAGGAAAGAAGAAATGGCTCAAATTTAGAGTCAGATGATAAAAAGGAAATCAACTTTATTGAGGGAGTGGACCCAAAGAGGGGGTGATAAAAAGCAAAGAGAGTTCTAGATTCAAGGAGGTCAAAATGCAAGATAGCTTCTCAATGTTCAATTCATCAAAGATTGTTTTTGTAAATTTTGTTATTCTTAAAGATTCCCGAGTTTCTTCAAATCACACTCTGATAGCTAAACATTTAAGATTTTTTTCCTTATAACTCTGATTTTGTTGTTGTCATCATAATTAAAATACAATTCACTTTGTTTTTTGTTTTGTTCTGCTTTGTTTATCCCAGGGCTGGAGATGCAAACCAGGACCTCAGGCATGATAGGCGAGAGCTCTACCACTGAGCCACACCTCCAGCTCCACTTTGTTTTTTAAAGTGAATGAAATGACTGGAAAACCTTTTTTTTTATAATGATTATGAACCGTAGAACTTTGAAGAGTTTTTGTTTGTTTGTTTGTTTGTTTTCTAATCTGTTTATTTTGAGAGGGCTTAGTAATTTCAAGTTTTTAATTTTTCCCCATATCCACTTTCGCAATTGTCTCAAAAGCACCATATACTTTCTCCATATCCAGAAAAAAGGCCCCCAAATCAGATACTAATCAATGAGAAAATATTACTTCCCAATTTTAACAGTCATGGTTTTTACAAGATTAGGAAAACCTCTTAAGATAAACAATGCATATCTCTACTTACACATATTTAACCAGAATGATTTCTAATTAAATGTATTTTTTTATATTTCAGGAGAACATGAAAGACAGTATCAGGGTTTTTTTTTTTTTTTAATCAAATCTGTCAGAAGTCATGTTGAAAATTTGTGGAGCTTAATGTAGAAATCCTTTCCAACATAGGGTGTACAAACATTAGGAAGGAAAAAAAAAAAACTACAATAAAAATATGTCTTCCAGGGAAAACTTTCATATTTTGGTGGGAGAGAATCACATTAGCTAGCGAATCTTATGAATATTTTACAAAAGTGGTATACCTTGCCTCTCTCCAACTGTTTTTCTGTTCTCATAAATGAAACACAGAAAAGGAGAAGACGACATAAAATTCCAGCTTTCCTGTCAGTAAAATAAGGGAGTGGGGAGCTTTTAAAGATGGAGATATCTTAGAGAGACAAGAATAATAAAGGCAAACAAATGTCCTCTTTCAGATAAATGGGAAATAGACTGTGGAAATCTTCTGATACCAAAGCTTCCTGAAACCCTGAAGCAGGTGATATATTCTCAAACTGGAATCTTCCACAGTGCCTTGGACAGGCCCAGCTTCAGAGCATCTGTAGGAAAAAGTAAAGGTAAATGTTTTTTGTAGAACAAAATGAAGTAAGTCCAAATTGGATTGAGCATTGACCCTGATAACTGGATTTGTCTTTTATTGGTTATATGACCTTGCATAAGGTATTTGATTTCTCCCTCTCTGATCTCTCATCTGTTCAAATGTCTTTTCCCATCAGGTTATCATAATGATCAAATGAAATGATAAAATGAAACCTCAATCTTTGTACAAAAATAAGACATTTTTCCTAATTAAGATTTTTAAAAAATTTGAAATGTTTTATTGTTACAGAGATTGTCTATAGTTATTATCAATCATCACTGGAAAACATTCAATTTTGTGTTCCTTAATCCTAGTCCAGTGATATTACACCTTCATTTTCAAAGAAACACTAAGAATTTCAAATATTAAAATATTTTAAATAGCTATTAAACACTTAATTTCATAAACTTTTCATTTTATTTATTCAGCCATTATCTATTTCAACTAATCATTTTAGTGTATATTTTTCATAGGATTTCAAACTTGAATGTTTATTTTGGAGTTATTCTATCATTTAACCACTCCGAAATCTTTTGCTATATTTTCATGTATTCTGTTTTTTTTATTTGTTCTAATTAGTTATACATGACAGTAGAATACACTTACGCACTTTGATATACCATACATAAATGGAGTATAATTTCTCATTTTTCTGATTGTAATTGTTGCAGAATCACATTGGTCATGTAGTCATATGTACATAAGGTAATAATGTCTGTTTCATTCTACTATCCTTCCTATCTCCACACCCCCTCTCCTCCCTGCACTCCCCTCTATCTAATCTAAAGTAACTCTATTCCCCACTTACTGTGCATTAGCATCTGCATGTCATGTATTCTATTTATTTACCAAGGATTTGAAGTAAAAATCAAGTCAATGGAACAACTATCATATTGAAATGATTATATCAATGAATAGTTGACCTAAATTTTTTTTTTTTTTTTTTTTTTTTTTTTGCAAATATAGCTGAAATTAACCAGACTACAGATATTCACTCTGAGTCCTGCAATTGCTAACTGATCTTCGGTACTCTAATCTATTATTCATCAGTCAACCTGCAAATGGCCTGTGCACTTGGACACACAAAGCATGTTATTATGTAGACTTAGTCTCCAAGGATATATAGATAAGAACAGTGTATGTAAAACATGTTATAAGAAACTCCAGGAGTGTGTGTGTGTGTCCTTAAAGTTAATTTTTCCATTGGCTGTTTGCTAATAAAGTATATATCAAAGAATATTTGTTTATAATGAAAACAAATTAGTTAAATTCATTTAGCCAAGAGGATACCTAAAATAATCTATATATATCTCAGTAAAAAGATATTGAGATAAAATTAGCAATATCCATATATGGAAAGAAGCTTGAGAATAGATGAATATAGTCTTCAAAATCAAGAATATATACCATTTGAACTCACTGAAAATTTTCAATGTCAATAAAAATGGAATAATCAAATAGTTTGTGTCCCATAAAGTGATGCAATAGGAAGTATACAGCACCAACTACACAGTGTTCTTATCTAAAAATTGGACCTGAAACTAATCAAGTCTAGAGATGTAGATAAGAGTTACAGGAGATTCAGTGGACAGAGGACCAGGCTATAAATATCTTTATAAGCAAACTGTTGGCCAATAGAATGTAAGACAGTGTATGGACAAATGACCTGGTTTATCTAACCAATAAAATGAAAAAAGTCAATTAATAAAACTAAGAAACATAATCAGAACTTTGTTTGGGTTCTGATTTGAACAAACCAACTATAAAAACCACCTCTGAGATAAGCAGGAGAACCCAGAGATGGATTAGGAATGAGTTCATGTTGAAGGAACACACGACTGCTATTTTGGGTTATTGTAGTTTTGAAAAGTTGCCCTTGTTGGTTAGGAATGAATATTGTATTAGTATTTCAGGGTGACATGACATTTTGAATATTCTTTAAATACTCTAGGAAAGGTGGAGAAAGTGGGGGAAAGATGAAACAAAATTAGCAAAATGTAAGTAATTATTAAACGAGGTAATAAGTACCTGAGTCAACACCCTATCTACTTCTTTTATATGTTTTATATATTTTTTTCAAACTGAAACATTTTTAAAAGAGAAGATGTATTCACACTGTATTTGTATCAGCACAATAGTTTTGGAGAATAGATAGTAGCTAAAATCTTGATTTGTTTGCAAGTTCTAAATCATAGATCACCAATAATAAACTTGAGTATAAGCTACAATGAAACAAGAGTAAAATAACCTCCTTGTAGGACTACTCTGATTCCATTAAATGAATATTTATATATACCCATCTAGTATTTACCTGTATCTCCTTCCCTCCTTTCCCACTTCCAATGAGAGTGGCTCACTTTATTGCTGAGTCATTGCATCTTTTGTGTGTTCATGTGGGTGTGGTGCTGGGGATTAGACCCAGGGCACCATGCATGTTGTGCTCTACTACTGGCCTACACCCCCAGCCCCTGTCATTGAATCTTGATCATTGTCACACAGTCTCCCATGGTGAAGCAAGGAATGGAAAACATTACCTTCACACAAAGGAGCTCATTGATAACACACCTTGGTGCTATACCCACTGCATGAGCTAATGTGCATGACTCCAAAGAGGAGCTAGGGCTGGGATTTTAGGGACTGTGGCTAATACATCAGGAGAATGTGGGAAAGATAGAAGGAGATGATGTCTGAATATCCAATTTTCTCAAGTTCTGAAATTAATGTATAAATTTCCCTTGGATTTTTGTTTTGCACTTTTAAATGGTTTTATTTCAGATGGTTATACTTTATTTTTGTTCGCTACCTCTCCAACATAACAGATATACATAACATTTTTTTTTTGAGCCCAGGAAAAATATGTATCCCAAGTTACCATGTGGAGATGAGAAGCTGCTCCACATGAAAGAACCCCGCTCACACCCTACCCCCATAAATCCCAGCTCACATAGCTCTTCAAAGCCCTCCAGGGACAGCGGAGAGGCATAATGTGGAGCAACTGTTTGAAGGGTGGAATAAAAGCACATCCTGATGTCTTGGAGCTAAGAGAAGGAAAAGGATATTTACATAAGATGAGATGCCAATAAATTGGAAAGTTCAATGTGCTTAGAAATAGACAGTGGCTGGGACAATGATGGAGGAATCAAATTGCTGCAGCAGATTGCATCTTTCATGTTTAATTTTCATTTAATTCCTAAAGAAGGCAGAGGCTCAAAGGAATGATTCACCCTCATCCTTACCCTTCAGAAAAACTTTTGCCGACCTCTCAAATGCCAAAACCTGGAAATACCCTTCTTTGTTAGACCCCCGAATTGATCATTTTTCATAAAGTACTTATTGATTAGAAGCAATGTTCATCTGAGTCTCAGCCATGAAGTGGTGTTTCAACCAAGTGAAGATGGACATTTCCAGCCTGTTCCTGTGAACTGACCCATCTGTCATCATCTTTGTGCCCAGAGGGAACAGTAAGCCTTCTTGCCTCCTCCTCCGTCTCTTACTTGCTCTATGTTGCAAAAATATAGTTAACACATTAATGTATTTTATCTGTTTTAAGCAGAAACATTTTTGTGAGCTCAGTTAAAAAAATAAAAGTTAAGTGATAGAACTAAAGTTCTGAATAACAAGAATAGTTTAGTCGGGTTCAACATGAGGTTATAACAAAATAGAAGTGACAAAGAAATTGAAATCAGATAAGTTTAAATGACTTTAAACTGTTGTTTTTATTAAATATAGGTAAGAATATGCAGGAAACAAAGACAGCAGGTTTTCAATGGTCATGGACTTGACATCTCCTAAGAAATCCTTAACCCTTATTGTAGTGGTTTCCCAAAAGTCTCAGCATACATATAAAACATTCACTGTTTTGCCTTGATTATGAATGGAAGCTGATTTATTATGCTTATTTTAGTTCATAATAAACTGGAAAACCTAGAGAATTTTGAATTTTCTTGGGAACATAAAATTGATAACATCCAACCAGTTTTTCCTTATCTATGATGTCCCTTGGGGGAAGGAAGACAGTTAAAATGTGTGTGTAAATTATTATATATTTTTTGTATGTGTAAAATTTGAGGCCTTAAGGAAGACTGAGGCCTGTTTTGTTTTGTTTATTCCCATTAGAAGATTATACATTAATACCAAGAGTGATTATTGATTTTTTAAAATTCTAAATATTAATATTTTTTAGACTGTAGGTTAATTTATTCAACAAGATTATGAGAACCCACTACGTTCAAGAGAATGTGCTTAAAAATTAAGAACCTAGGCCAGGCATGGTGATACAGGTCTATAATCCCAACTGCATGGGAGGTTGAAGCAGGAGGATCACAAGTTCAAAGCCAGCCTCAGCAACTTAGTGAGACTCTATCTCAAATAAAAAGTAAACAGGGGTGGTGATGTGACTTAGTGGTTAAAAAACCCTGGGTTAAAAAAAAAAAAAGTGCCAAGAAAAGAAAGAAAAAACTCAAAGGACTTTAAAAATTAAGATCCTATTACTTAATCCCTTGTGAAGTTTTTATTCTTTTACAATTAAATAGTAGTTTTTGGTTTCTTCATGATAAAAACATACTTTAGTTACAATCAAAACATAATAAGAAAATAATAATTTCTAGCCACTACCTAACAAGTTGCTTTGTTCTTTCAACTTTTCATCTGGTATTAACTGTCATTACCTAGAAGATTATATTATATTGTATTTTTAATTCACTCCCCAAATTAAAGCATTTTTAGATGAAATTGGAGCCAAGTCCCATTGGTATTTGAAAGTGGCAATATCATGATTTCTCCATATTTTATATTCCAGTATTTTTTCTCTTTTCCCAACCTGTTCTGTAGACAGGTTTCTAATTCTGTGCCATATCTTTGAGTGTGACTCTACAGAAATTTCATATAAATGAGAAATATTCACTATACATCAGAAACAAACAACCCTCTAATTTGATAACAAATAAATTTTGTTTAAATGCAAAGTGTACTTTCACTTCCAAAAATCTGACCTTTATTCCCCACAAAACTTCTATGGAGAAATCCCATTCATGAATTTTATCTATACCAGAACAAAAATATCTAATTGCCTCTTCTATGAAATCTGTATTTATCAATTATGACTTTCTCGGGGAAATTCTAATTTGCAAAAATGCTCTACATTCCAAGCTTTAACAGTTGGAGGTGGATGTCCTTAAGGATGGAGGGGAAAAAAGTTCTTTTTTAAATGGCACATTTACTAATTATAAAATGCTCTTATCTCTCTGCAGCCAAAGCCAAAATGAACATGTGCCTTGTACTAAGAAATCCCAGGATTGTCACAACTTGTGCCAGCTGTTGAGGTTATGACACCTGTGCCAGCATCGCCAGCTCTGCCCACTGTCATCTGTTCCAACTGTTCCATCTGCACTGTTTGTACCAATTCTCCCATTTCTGCATCTGTACCTTCTGCAGAAACGTTTCCAACAATGCCAGCTGTGTCATTGGTGCCAAATATGCCAGATGTTCTATTTGTCCACCCTGGGCCAAATCAATGCAGTTTTGTGCTCATTAGTTTTAGCTGGTAGATTCTATTTTACAATTTTTTGAGATGTATTTAGATTGAATCCAGGCAAAAATCCCTCATACAACAATATTACATCTATCTATCCATCTTTTTGCATCTTTATTTTTTTTTCTGCCAACATGAAGTTGGTCAGTGTTATTTTGATCATGTTAATCCTGGTGGTGATAACCTGTTTGATGTTAATTGTGGTAGAGGATTTCCTATAATGTAAAATATATGTTGCAAAAGCCATGGAACACAGCAAGATATTGCAAAGTAATTAGGAAAAAAATGAAACTTTGTTCTGATAAACAGAGAATGCTCAGAAATCAATATGGTGAGCCGATTAAAGTAATCTGTGGCATAATGTCCTATTAAACTGCCTGTTTATTGGTCTTTTAATGGACAGAGTTATACATGCAAATTAATGTTGATGTCACATACTACTATTTCCTGGGTTCTGGTCTAGAAAGTATTAACCAAAGGTACACATGAGTTACACATGGGTGTTAGGGTGAGCTCTATTGCATTTGTTGCTTCCTGGTAAAACTAAGCAAGCTCAGGATCTAGTTCTCTAGCTAAAATCTAGCTCTCTCTCCTCTCCCAAATGTCAATTCTGCTGGTGCCAACACAAACCATTCTTATTCACATGCTCTTCCAGCTTTAAAATTGAAAAAAGCAAAAAAAAAAAAAAAGTATTTTCATCCTCACAACCTCAATATTCTCCATCACCATGAATCAAACAATTATGCTTTTCTCTTTTATTTTTTCTCATTTGGGAAAGTCTTTTTAAGGAGCTCTGACACTTAATCTCTGAGTTTTACCCAAATTCTTTATTCTGAAATCATTTCAGACTTGGAAGATGAGCACAGTGCCTGTTATTTGAAAATCAGTGATTTACCAGGAATGCAAAATCCAGAGGACATGGAGGCTACCTCTTATTAATTTGCCCTGAATCATTTAACTTGTTCTTTCCAATGATGAAAGTTGTATCCACTCACTAAGGCTTGAAAGTGTTCATGGATAAAATTCTTTACAGTGGATAAAATGTCAGCTCACCATCACATCCAAAGATTTGCCATCAGCCTATACATGTGATGAGATACAGTGAGAAAATTTCTTGACAATTCCATCAGGTTTTCAAAACCTATACAAAAAACACTAAGTTTCTATAATGAATGAATCACCAAAGTACCCTGATTAATGAACTTATCTAAGGATAAAACTCCTGATGGTATCTTATGTTTCTGGGAAAGGATATACTGATATCTTTCTTATCAAGGGTCTGTGTGCTGAGCTGCCAGACCCCAGGGCAATGGTCCCAGAGCATGTCAGTTTTCCCGTATGGGGAGAACTCCTCCCTTCCACATACTCTTCCTTTATAGGGTCAGTGATTATTTCTCAATAAACCAAGTCCTTCACTTTTCCACCAGAGTCTTATCTATTTCTGATCCTTTCACTCTGAACCTTTTCCAAACCTAGATTGAATAAATATCGATTCATTAAAATGGTAGCTGTCTATCAAAATATGCCTAGCTTAGCGAAAGGGATGCAATCTGAGTCTGTTGACCTTACTTCTAGAAATGCTACAAACTTTTTTATTCTAATTCCCTATGTTGCAAAATGCCAGGAAGGAACATCCTTAATTAGGATTAAAATAGCTTTGTGACTAGTTGGGAGTGTACCCTGTACCTTCTCGGTACATCTTAATTAATATAACTTCTGCTCCCTGCTGACAAAGACGTTTCCGATGGTGTTTTAGCCCAACATCTTTACCGCCTTCATTGATGTGAGTCACTTGAATACTTGGAGGAATCCACAAACTTTACAGTTTCATATAAAATAAAGAATTGAGTGTTAGAATTGCCAGGTAGGCATACATAGCTGAGAATATTTACCCCTACCTATCTTGCTTTTTTAAATGTAATTTCTTAATATAATGACCATGAGAATCCTCATATTTGCAGACAGAGAATAGAAAAACACACATTTCAAGGTTTCGATGGCAGAGAAAAAGACCTGAGTGTTTTAGAAATCTGCTATTGTACATTTGGATTAGCCTTTAAATAGTTGTTTTTCTGGGATAAGTCACTGTCCGTTGTTTCCCTAACTCTTTAGAATAAACAGAAAACCTCAGTCCTCTGAAGTTTCTTGAGTATTTGTCACCCTACTTTCCCAATTTCATTCAAATTTGGAAGGAGAATGGAAACTCTGATCTTTCTAGTTGCATCTTTATTCATGTGTTTGTATGCTATGACTATCATTCTTTAAATCACAAGAATTATAGTAGCAGTTATACGATCAATATTCATTAAAATAGTATGAAAGAAGGCAGTAACTTACACTGAGGTGTCATGACTCAACTGGTACTTCAGTTCCTGTAGTCATTTTCATCCTTTTCTCTCTCATTTTGACACTGTGTTATTTTCAGGAAAATGACATTACTTGACTCACTAATGTTCCAAGACTTGAATTTGGCTCCTTTTAGGAGCCCTCAACTCCAGTGTTGATATATGTAGACAAGCCATCTACATCTAAAAGAGAAGTTTGTCAAAATGTAGAAGAGTTTGAAGGAATGGGGACAGAGATTGATAGAATACAAAGTAGAGCAATGATAGAAAAAGAGTGAGTCACTACACGAAATCAATAAGAAATGAATTGTCACTGGGCAGGGTGGCACATGCCTGTAATCCCAGTGGCTCTGGGGGCTGAGGCAGGAAGATCTCAAGTTCAAAACCAGCCTCAGCAATTTAGCAAGGCACTTAGCAACTCAGTGAGACCCTGTCTGTAAATTAAAAATATATATTAAAAAAAAAGGCGGGCAGGGGATGTGGCTCAGTGGTTAAGTGCCCCCCCCCCCGAGTTCAATCCCTAGTATCCCCAAAAAGAAGAAGAAGAAGAGAAAAAAAAACAAGAAATGGATTGTCTTGGTTAAATGAAACAGGAAATCAGAGAGCATTAGGAATTAATGACTCACAAAGTTACAGAACCATCAAGTAGAAAGCACTCGTGAAGATTCACTAATCCAACTAGAAAATTGAGAAGAAAATTGAGGTCCAGTGTTATATAGCTATACTCACACAGTTGATTAAAGGCAAAATCAAGTCTAGAACCAGTCTCTCTGTGTCTGTTTCCCCACCTATAAAATGGGAATGATAATAATACAGTATTAGAGAAAATTAAATGAGTGAATGGGTCTAACAGATAGCTTCTGTTAGATCCTGACAGTCATAGTTTTATCGACCACCATTCTTGTCATTGTCATCATTATTAGGATACCTGAGTCTAATGATTTTAACTTCTCCAAGATCAGACTAAACTAATCCTGCAGACCTCAGGATCAAATTTGTACTTTTACTCTGGACTTTGGGATGATCTTGTTTCCATGTTTTATTTTGATCATCAAATTCACATTATGAAAAAAATAGTTGGAATTTGAGTCTGGAATTAAGCAATGGTCCAATGACTTTATTTTCTGGCTACTCTCTGGCACACAATCCAGATGTTCAGTCAATGCAGGGAAATCCAAGATGTCCAAGTTCACAAGAAGGAAGCAAAAACATGATTAATCTCTACTGATAAATGACAAAAAAGCAGTAGTATTTGGCTTTAAAAAGAAAGCACATTGTCTGTCAAGAGCAGCCTCACACATTCTTACACAGATACTGTCCAGATATTTCTTTGTGCCAGTCACAGGCATGTGGGTTCTTGCTGAGTAACAGAAAAAAATGAGACCACAGGAACTCGTGAATGAGTTATCCATGTTGGGAAATTAGGAGAATCCAGAAAGGAAATTGTATTAGTTACTTCATAAAACTTATATTTCACATTTGTAAACACTTTTTCATAGTTGGTGTTGGAGATGGAACCCAGGGCTTCAAGCATGCTTAGCACCTGCTCTACATTTGAGCTACACCCTCAGCTCCTGCAAAACAGTTTATGCTTCTCTGTATTTTACTAACATCTCTGATTCTAGGCCTCAGTAACTGGTAGCTCATTAAAATCAACTTAGAATGTCCAGGGCTGGGGTGTGGCTCAGTGACAGAGCATGCTTAGCATATGTGTCGCTTGATTAGATCCCAGCACACACACAAAAATGTATACAAGACTAATTAAATGAGAATCTCTCAGGGATCAAGACCAGGTAACTGTGTTATTTTGGTTTGTGTTTTGTAGATTTTTGTTTGTGGTACTGGGGATCAAACCCAAGACCTTGCACACACTAAGCACTCCCTCTGTCACTGAGCCACACCAACGGCCCCAAGTATCTATGTGCACCAGGAAGGATTTAAAAACTACCTTTTCTCTTCATTGAAACAGCCTCCTAGCTGGGGGTGCAGCTCAGTGGTAGAGCACTTGCGTAGCATGTGTGAGGCTGTGGGTTCCACCCCAACACTGCAAAAAAAAAAAGGAAAGAAACCAGCAGACCTCTAACAGAACTTCACTACATTTAAATTAGTCACATAGACCTTAAAATTTTTGAGCTTTAAATAGGAGATGATACTTCATTTTAAAAGTTTAGATTAAACTGGGTTAGCTTTCCCTGTCAAGGCTTCTGTTTCCACAGTATTTCCTTGCCTCATCTCAATCCATTCAAGTTGGACTGAATCACAAAAGCCAGAGATAGAACATGAACTCAGATTGCTCCATATTCTCCTGTAGGAGTCTGCCCCTTTGTTAACATTGTTACAACTCGAGATCCATCTTAAAAAGTGTTAGGATGAGTGATGATGCAGACAGAACATGTTAGAGAGATGGGTAACTGCGCTGGTATTTAGTGCAATCACAAATATACAGTGACATCTAAACCTAGTCATAGTATACTCAGTATGAATCCACAGAATATTGGACTAAATAGACTTTTTTCAAGCTAATGTTTCAAATCATGTTGAAAGCAATTCACAGCACTTTTGTGCATAGAAGCAGAGTTACCCAACCTGTGGACCATGGCACATTTGTGTGGCCCAGATGGTTCCTGGGGGCGCCAAGAGAGTGACCCTTCATCCTCGGGGCAGCCAGAGATTCTGGGCTGGTCGCCTTCAGATATTAGCAGCCTCACCCCATTGACCATAAAAATATCACCATCTTCTATGTGTGCCATGTCATAAAGAATGCTGGAGAACACTGCAAAGCACAAGCCAAGCCCTGGAGCAGCACTCAATAGACTTCCAGAATTTCTGGACTCATAATAGTTAAAGAAGAAGAATCAATGTGTATTCTCAAACTTTTATTTTAATATAAAAAAATTATTACATATGAGTATAATTTCAGAAATATGGGGGATAGTTGCACTATTTCTAAAATGCTTTATTTTAAAATAGTTCAAAGCTGGTCAAGAAGAGGCACACACCTGTAGTTCCAGCTACTGAGGAGGCTGAAGTCAGAAGATCACTTGAGCCCAACAGTTCAAGGCAGTTTGTGCAGCATAGCAAGATTCTGTCCCAAAGAAGAAGAAAAAAAAGTAGTTTATGTCAGGGAAGAGAGTACAACCCAAACATGTTATATCCATGAAATATTTATCAAGAAGAATTGAAGCTTTTCTTCTTGGTTTTATCCTGAATTTTTAAAATTTGTTTTGAAAAAAAAATCTTTATTTTAAGGAAAAATAAAGTTCACAAAAAATTTCACAAGTTTTTTTTTTAAGAAATGTCTTACTAAAAAGTTGAATTAATATCATAATAAATATAAATATCCCCTTCATCTATATTCACAGCGTGTTTCCATTTGGCCACATTGGCTTTATTTAACTTTTCTTTGGCAGACTTTTCGAAAGTTGCATCCTTCCAACTACTTCATCCCTAAATACTCTTTCATGTACCCCTAAGGAGAAATAAAATATTCTTCACCTAAGAAAATTAGCTTGGGAATGGGACATAGAGTGGTAGAGCACTTGCCTAGCATCTGTGAAGCCCTGGGTTCCATTTCCAGCACTGCAAAACAAAAACAACATGAACACAGATACCTGGCAAAAAGGAAAATTAGCGTGAATTATATCAGCCTAAAAAACAGTTCATATTCAATTTCCACCATTGTTTCAGAAATGTCCTTTATAAATTTGTTTTCCAAGATTTAATCCAGTCCCTGGATTGGTCCTGCCACACTTTTTTTTTAAAAAAAGGGGAACACTTATTCTATTTTATGGAATGAAGTGTTGCCCAATTCTATAATGGAAAATAAAGTCAATTAAGATCTTTAAATATATATATATTGTTGACGGGTGTGGTGGCACACACTTGTAATCACAATGGCTCAGGAGGCTAAGGCAGGAGGAAGCTGAGGCAGGAAGATGGTAAGTTCAAGACCAGCTTTAGCAACTTAGGGAGACCCTAAGCAAACTTAGAGAGTCCCTGTCTCAAAACAGAAAAACAAAAGTGGATAGGGATACAGCTTAGTGGTAAAGCACCTCTGGGTTAAATCTCTAGTACCTCCCAAAATAAATGTTTTTCATTATATTGATTCTTTAGAAGAAAGAGTCTTCTTTTGAAATCTACATTCCAGATTTGTTTGTTTACTCATACTTTTAGCAAGAAGGGTTATTTTTTAAACTCTAGAATACAAAGGAAAGATATAATATCAGATTAAATGAATACATTGAATTAGGGGGAGAGATTCCCTCCATAGACTACATTTTCTTCCCTGTGGAGTATAAATAGCTTAGTACAGGATGACACTTTTTACAGGCCAGCATCAGGGAATCAGCATCCTAGAGAATAAAAATAAGTCCACCATATCTAACTACTAATCAATGAATGGTGTCACTGGAAAAAAAAACCTAAGTCTTAATGAAGTGGTCTAAGATTCTGCCAGGGTTTGTTTATACAGGCCCTAGAGCAGTGGCTCCTTCCAAAACAAATAAATAAATAAATAAAAGAATAAAAAAATTGTTAGGCTGCAATGATCTTCTCTGACCTTGGATGTTGTCTGTGATCAAACTGTGGTGGGGCTCCAGGTCTACTAAACCATTTACAGAGAGAGACTGTCAGAGCCCCCACTGGCTTGTTGAATAGTCCTGTGCTTTAATGAATGTGGTTTGCAGATGAAGCAGGGTGCAGAGCCTCACCCTGTGCCCTGCCCACCTGCTGCCTCATAAGCTTGCTCAATGTCAGGAGTGTCCCAGTCATCACATGCTCTATTTGTTCAGAGCTTCTTGGTCATGAATAGAATAGATACACATTCAAACATGAGCTGTGCTCTATCATGGTGCCCTGACTTGCGTCAAAAAACTCCTTTAGTTACATCAATTAAGATGAAAGTGTGTGACCACAGAACCCAGGACAAGGACAGACTCCAGGACAACTACCAGACTTTTCAGTGTGCCAGCTCTTTCTGGGGGTAGGGGGTGCTATCTCCATTCTCCCTGGAGCATTTCCTTCACCCTACAAGGTGCATTTAGTAATCAAGGAAGAAAGAAGATCTGCAGTCCCCTCTCTTATAATGGCTGGTCACAGCATTCCCCTCCTGAGTTGGCACCTCCACACTGGTGTTGAGTGTAGGGGACAACCAACATGACAAGGGCAGTGCACACTAAGTATCATATTCACACATCAATTTCTTTCTTTGTTTCCTTCTTTTTTCTGCAGTGCTGGGGATGGAACCCAGGGCTTCCTATATACTAAGCACTAGGCACTAGGCCCTGAACCACTAAGCCACAGCCCAACCCAGTTTCTTTTCAATGGACACTCATCTTTTTCTTTTTAAATTTTTTTTCTTTTCTTTAGTTGTGGATGGACGCAATAGCTTTATTTAATTTATTTATTTTTATGTGGTGCTGAGGATCAAACCCAGTGCCTCACACATGCTAGATGAGCATTTCACCATTGAGCCACAACCCCAGCCCTCAGTGGACACTCATGCTTCTAAAAAAGGACTTGTGGATTACAACAGACACTGCTCACCTCAGTTACTCCACTTCTAGCCAGCTGTTCCTGCATCTGCTTGATACCATTCCTGAACCTGGCGCCTGCTTCTTCATGGCCTCTGTGGTTGCTTTTCAGACCAGGTTCAGCCAGAGACGGCAGAGATCACCCTTCATGTGTCTATTGTCCTCCCTTTTGCCCCAGCACAGAGTCCTTCCATTCATCTCATCCCATGTCTGCATCATCCACTGACTCTCAACAGGATGGAGACTAGGAACTGAGTATTCAGAGATGTGTAAGATACAGTGTGGTTGAGGGGAAATATAAATAAATAAGGTAGAGGGTTGTGTCTTAATAAAGGGAGACATTCGAGCTTCCGGGAGGGGGCACCTGGTTAGGCTACCCAGTTAGAAACTACCCTGCCTTCATTTTTGAGAAAGAGAAGACAGTGCATGCTTTTTTCAGGGAATAGTAAGTAGATAACTGGTTTGAGATGGTGACCAATGAGATATGGGCAGTATCAGAAAAAAGAATCAATTGCCTCATAGGTTTTTTAGATGGTATTAAAATCTAAATGTTAGTGCTATTGTATTAGTCAATAAAGAAAATTCTGAGCAATTGGGTTTGTGAGAGAAGCACCTGAACTGCTTATTCATCTCTTTCAAAAATATTTCTTTACCACATGCTTTATGCTGGGAACTGTGCTAGTCTGGGAAAGCTGCATTTTATTATTATAGTTGATATTCTGAGTTTTAGAGGTATTGTAGCATCTCAGCTTATAGTCCACAGATTCATTACAGGTTAGGAAAAATTTTTTAAAAAAAGTATGAGCCCAACATTGAGACTTAAATGTACAGTATAAAGTTTAGGCATCTGTTATATTAAAAAATTGAACAATACATAGATGCTTATTTTCTTATCACCCACTATAGGATTATTCACTCTGCTATTTTATGGCCAATATATTTATCTGTTTTAATAATGGCTAATTTTGCAGAATAAAATAAAATAGAATAAAATGTGGTTGTCAATTAGATCTTTGACAAAACACATGGATTATCATTTCTTCCTATTTATTTTTCTTTTTTCAATACGGGGAATTGAACCCAAGGCCTTGTCTATGCTGAACACATTCTCTACCATTACCACAAGGCTACACCAACAGTCAAAACATGGGTTATCTGTCATTCAGTCATGAGACCAGACACCACTAGCCATCATGTGTAACCTATCCTAACTTCAGGGAAGGTTCCCAACTGGGCATGGAGGGAGTCACCTAAGAAGTCTCCCTACTGGTGAAACTTGCAAACCACAAAGTAAATGATAAAATTATATCAAAACCTACCATATTCTTTGGAGAACTCATCCAACCAATGGTCAAACCAAGATATTACATTTGTTGAAGATAAACCAGGCAATGTTATGACTTAATTGAACTCAAATCTTTCCCTGGTATCCCAGGAGGACCAGATGTTTTATAATGGAAATCCCTAAGTTAATCACAACACAGTTGCACAGCTTTGTGAGTCCAATTCCCCCAGCTCTGGTAATAATATTGTAATTCTCCCTGACTCGTCCCTTAGGCTGTTTCACTAAGGTCCAGTTAAGTCAGACTTCGATTTTTGCTGTTGATATTCCTCTGGGATTCTATGTGTCCCATAAAACAAGAAGTCATTTGTATGATTCAACTTGCCTAGCTCAGAAATAAGCATAGGTGTTCATACATAAATTCTTTAAAAGGCAAACATTAGCTGGGTGTGGTGGTGTACTTCTGTAATCCCAGCAGCTTGGGAGGCTGAGGCAGGAGTACCATAAATTCAAAGCCAGCCTCGGCAACTTAGTGAGACCTTGTCTCAAAATAAAATATAAAAAGGGCTGGGGATTGTGGCTCACTGGTTGAGTACCCCTGGGCTCAATCCACAGTGCAAAAACATAAAAAGGCAAATACTGTGTTAGGAACTATGAATTTAAACAACAAATGGAAAGAGATTTTCCAAACATTAGAGTTTTTCAGGAATAGCAGAACAACTCAATGAAAATATATGTGACAGTAAAATAAGAGTGTATACATAGAGGTTGAGGCAAGGGGAAGCTTTTGAAGGTGAAATGAGGAAGATTAGATAAGTTGTTTCAAATCAATTGTCCTTGGGTACAAGGATCAATAACAAGGGTGGCATCAGTCCAAGGTTGGATAGGCAGTTGCTGGGCAGATGCCCTTGCAGAAATACTTTCTGTGTAAGATTGTGGTGGCCTTTGTGTAAGGTTGTGGTTCTAGCACAGTCTTTTGTGATTGTTCTTTCAATCAAACATACTTGTGTGAGATCCCTTTCTTCATATTCTCCCAGCTTGATTGATTGATTGATTGTTTGATTTCCTAGGACTTCATACAAACAGCTCCATTTGATTCTGACAATTTTCACAGGGACTTAATATCTAATATGCAAGTTTAAGAGAAGGAAGACATGTTAGTCTCCTAGGATTGCAAAAAACTACCACAAACTAGATGGCTTGTTTTTTCATAATTCTGTAAGTTAGAAGTCCCAGTTCAAGGTGTCTGCAGGGCCTTGTTCCTTCTTAGGC